AGAGGCGTCATTAATTGTCCGCGCTAATTACGGTGCCGCATGCCGTTGTGTCTGAAATGGAATAAAACAGGGTAATCGCTAACAATTGATAAGATGAGATAAATGAATGAATCTGGAGTGTCAAGAAGGGAGTACATTAGTAATAAAATTATGCTTTTCTGATTTCAGGTGAGTAACAAGTTAACAATTAAATTCCGGCGGTAGGTAAGTATGAAGAACAAAGGTTTGATTCCAACTGTATCTCTGAGAGTCGAAAGTAATTACAATCAATAATACAAAATGAGATGTAAAAAAAAGAAAATGAAAATTTGTAACATGAAAATAAAATAAAAATATCTGATTAAAACTTGAATAAAGAAATGTTTTGTTTATAACGAAATCTTGACTAAATGAAAGGGAAGAGAGATAAGAGAAGTATTCCTTACCTTAACAATTAAGAATTTACACTGGTAAGTGCGATAGAGGCCGTTTAGGGACGTTTACTGATCTGAGTTCATGATTCACTTCGTGCGTGTGTCTCTTGAGTTTGGAACACCAGTTATGCAGAAAGTAGATGAAAATACCGAAGATTATCAAAAAAATCAATAAGTTCTGAATGAGATCTTGGGAGAAGGTAAAAACTGTGTATGTATTATACGAGTCCTTTAACTGAGTTGATATATCGTTGGATGCGATACCCATTTTTTTACAAAAAAAAATTAAATAAATATAAAGAACGATAGAGAACTCGAAAATGTTGAAGACACAAAATGAACTGGTTAAGAGTTTGCAAGTGAATGAAGTGAATTTTGAGCACAGATCAATAATTAACAAAGCGGAAATACAAATTGCGGAAATACAGAAAATTAAAATTATCAACAATGTGAAATCTCCTGACACAAGAGAAAAAATTCAAGGAATGACTTATGAGTCATATTTATTGCGAGTTGCACATGGACGCAGTGTGTTCCTTTGTCTCCTGTTTCCAACCGACGTTGCCTGCCTTCGTGGAATCGTATGATTCTGTGGGTCTCTGACGGACGAACCCTCCCGGCTTTACCTCAGCTTTGTTTTGGGCTAGTAGGGCGATTTCAATGTCCGGGTTCGGCCGTCCGCCAGAGATCCACCGAAGACAGGGGCTTCGGCCGGATGCAGGCGACAAACTTGCACATCAACGCATGGCAAAGCAATGAGGGAAGGGGGGGGGTGGAAAATTCGATGCCGTGCCGATGACAAAATCTAGATAGAGTGTTTGCGATCCAGACGTCCTAAGGGTGGAAGAACCGTTCTGGGGTAAGGCTTTAATCTTGAAACATGGATTGTTTCTTTAGAAAGTTTGTTACGAATGGGGATCTCAACTACATAGTTCAGGTCTGACAATTTTTCAATGACCTTGTAAGGGCCTTTGTATAAAGGTTCCAATTTGGACCCTTTTGGTGTCAAGGTGACGAGGACAAGGTCATTCGGATTGAAACTAATTTCCTGGCGGCCCTGATCATAGATTCTCTTATATGAGGTTTGCGCTTTTTCGATCATTTGAGGCACAGATCGTCGAATTTCTATTAATTTTGTAATGTTATCCAAAAGATTCTTGTCTTCCCCTGAGGGGAGAGAGGCGGAAAGGGACGTATCAGGTTCAAAACCATGTAACAAGAAAAATGGCGAGTACTTAGTTGCTGAGTGAATGGAAGAGTTGTAAGCAAAAGTGACAAAAGGTAGATATTTGGACCAGTCATTCAAATTATCGTTAACATAGTGCTTAAGGGTTGAAACTATAATAGCATTGTTTCTTTCTACCAAGCCTTGAGATTGTGGGTGGTAAGCAGTTGAGAACTTCTGGTCGATGTTAAGGCTTTTGCACAACTGGGCAATTAACTCATTTTCAAAGTGGGTGCCTCTATCTGATGAAATTTTTTTTGGAAAACCGTAATTAGGAATTACTTTTTTTAATAAAAATTCGGCGACTGTTGGCCCGTCAGCTTTGGTGGTCGCTGCGGTTATGACATACTTAGTTAACGTACAAACTGCGATAAGGATATAAGTGAATCTATTTGAGGGGGGTAGGGGGCCAAGAAAATCAATGATTAGGTGGGAGAACGGTCTTCCATCCAAAGGTGGAGGGATGGGCTGCAGATAACCATACTTAGGGGCACGTTTAATATAACTGCACGACACACAAGACTTAATGAATTGTTGGATATCCTGGGACATGTTGGGCCAATAATACAAGAATCTGGCTTTTTGAAAGGATTTGGCGAAGCCAAAATGGCCACCGCCATCTGAAAGGCTGTTATGGCACGAAGCCAAAACATCAGGGCGTAATTTTTCTGGTACATATATAGCCAAAGATTTTTTATTGGGGGTGAAAACTTGGAAATACACTAAGTTATTTCTGAGTACGAATCTTCGAGAGAGACGCAAGATTTTCTTATCAGATATAGATGCGGGATTTGAAAGAGCCATATAGATCGATTTGATTGTTGGATCTGCTTGTTGTAAGTCGAATAACTCTTTACTATTATCTAAAGTGATCGCATTGACTAGGGCTGGAGGATATCTTGATAAGTAATCTGCTGCTTTGATGGGTGCTGAGGATTCTTTAGTGTACTTTATTTCAAAGTCGTAGTTTAGAAGTTGGGAAACCAATTTATTAAGTCTTGATGATGAATTTTTGAACGTCTGAAAGTACTCTAACGATTTGTGATCACTGATAACCGTGAATCTTCTGCCATATATGAAATTTCGAAAATGGTTAGCGGCATTGACTAAACCGCGGAGTTCTAGTTGGGTAGCTGACCAAGATTTGAGGGGGGGTAAGATTTTGCTATAGAAACCAATTGGATGAAGCTTTCCATGATCATCGGGCTGTGCCAATATTGCTCCAGTGGCGATATTCGAACTGTCGATGATCAGGGTTAACTTCTTTGACTCATCGAAATTTTGGAGGACAGGGGGGGTTATGAATTTCCTTTTAAGAGAATTAAATGCGGTATCTGCTTCAGCAGTCCAAGTAAATGGTTCTTTCTTGGATTCTTGTTTCAAAATTGCGTATAATGGGGCACAAATTTTAGAAAAGTGGAAAACAAAATTGCGATAAAAGGTACAAGAACCGAGAAAACTGCGTAACTGTTTATAGGAAGAGGGGGTGGGGGAATTTAGAATGGCAGAGAGATTGTTGGCATCTGGTGAAAACGAATGTTCGGATAAAGTGAAGCCTAAGAGATCGATCGACTTTGTGAAAAATGAACATTTTTCGGTTTTAACACGTAAGAGATGGTGGGAAAGACGTTCAAAAACTATCTTTAAGAGTCGTAGATGTTCTTCTTCTGTGTCGGAATAGATGTACAGATTATCCACATAAATCACTACTCCATGATATAAGAGGTCCGCAAAAACTCTATTTATTGCGCGCGAAAAGGAGGAGGTCCCATTGCGAATGCCCATCGGTTGCCTGGTGAATTGAAAAAGACCCTGGGGGGTTGTGAGGGCAGTGCAAGGTCTAGATTTCATTGATAGTTCCTGTTGATAGAAACCTTGGAGAAAATCAAGCTGGCTATAAAATTTGTGTCCACGTAATTCGTTGATAATAGAATCTACTCGAGGGAGGGGGTATCTGTCTGGGATGACTTTTTTATTTAACTTTCGGTAATCTACTACTAAACGTTTATCTTGGGGGGTTAATTCTGTAACTGGTTTATTAAGGTGGGGTTTTTTAACAAGAAAAGCGGGGGAAGCGTAGGGGGAGGTACTGTTTTCTAGGACTTTAACTGACTTAAATTCTGAAATTACTTCGTTTAGGTGGGATCGTTCTAGAGACGACATTTGAAAGGGGGGGCTATGAACGGGTTCATCGTCAGTCAGATTTATGACTGCTGGTAAGATACGCGCCTTTTGTAGATCTATTATCGAGGACGCAAAAACATTCACATGATTGGACAAAATTTTCTCCAAGCTACTGCGGAAAGAAGGGTTCAGATCTTTGGATACTCGCACTGGGGTTCCAGCCTTATCGCGCACGTTAGTATCTACAAGGGGTGTAGATGGGTTGCTGAAATCGGCATCAGACGTAATCGAATGAATGAGAGCTTGTTTGTGATCCTGAGAAAAGATCTCCTTGCTGTAAAAGCTTCGCAAGTGCGAGGCTGCCTTTACGCTTGGAGGATTGAGGATTTTTCGCGCCACAGTCAATGGGTTCCCTGTGGGTAATAAATCAATTTTCAACGAGGTTCCTGTTTTCGGAGTGATGGATAAAGACTTGGATTGGAAATCGATATGGGCTTTGTGTTCTGTTAAGAATGGAGTTCCTAGAATAATGGGCGTAGGCAAATTTTTAACAATATAAGTGAAAAGTTTGAACAATTGTTTCTTGATAGTAATGAACAAATGGCCTTTGCCTATAATTTCCAAGGGTTGATCGCTAGCTGATTTTAAGTTGAGCAAGGGACCTTTACAAGGTACAACTAAATCTTTCAATGAACTAGAGCAGACGTTCACCGAAGCGCCCGTATCTAAAAGGGCAGTAAAATTTTTATCCGAAACAGAAACAGAAATCGTAGAGCTAGATTCCGAAAGAATGCTAGAATGCTGCGTCACCCAATGTATGATCATACACAGATGACTTTCAGCCGTAAAACCATGTGTCAGTCGTACTCTGTCCGGCCCGTTACAAATGCTGTCCGTCCCGTTACGCAGATTTTTCAATTTTTTTTATGCTTAATTCAATACTTATGAAAATTAGTTTAAATAGCATAGTACCTTGAACCCTTGAGGACTATATACATTTTTTGTGGATTTTTTACATAGTAAAATTCGCTGAGTTATTCAATTTTCTCAAGGGAGTCAAAACTCACTTCCAAAAACTGTCCGTCCCGTTACGGCTCTATTTTTGGTATAACTCCCTTAAAAATTAAAACAAAAAAGTAAGTTCGTACACTTTTGGAAATAACACACTGAGCTCTATCTACTGGTACAATTTATTTTAAATTTATGTGATTTTAAATTCATTTCTTTATTACTCAAAGGCGTGCGGTTGTCCGGCCCGTTACAATGGACTGACCCATATGATCTATGGATGTATCTCGTCTGTCAAATCCTTAAAAGTGCGAGGTAAATACAAACGAACAAATGGCGACATGAAAACATGCACCACGAATTAAAGTAAAAAGACTTTGCACTTCTGTTAGTAGCAGCGATTAAGAAATCAGTCACACTGGTTATACAAAATGGTTCTTGTAAATGCTCTAGTAATAATAGTAAAATCTGAAAGGTGTTTTTCTCAAACGCCATTTTGCACCTAGGTATTTCATTGATATTTTATTGGGAAAAAAATGTATACATATCTAGATACGTCTGTTTAAGAGGTCTCATCTTCCAAATTCTTTGTAAAGAGGTTAATAGCCTAAGATGCTGAATGTCTTTAAATAAATGAACTAACTAACTTTTCTATAATTTTTGATTGCTTTAACAAATTCATATCCCAAAACCACATTCAGTGCATACAAACGAAATACACTTGGAAAAGAAAAAAATCTTGGAAAGGTAATGTGATGCGTCTCATAATGAATGTTTCTTTTTTTCTTTTCTTTTTTTTACTAGTGTATTACTATGTAATATCGTAGGAATGGATGATGAATATTTATGGTTGTCGATGCTTCAAAGATAGACCGAAGCTTTACAATGGCAAACAAGTTTGGAGTGTTGCCAAATACGTTATTTACTTCAGAAATGTCAATAAATAGTGACTCGTTTTTCCGTCAGTAACTCAGAATAAGAAAACCGAAGTTCTGACCTGTGAAAAAGCAATTATTTATACTTTGTCTGTGCACACAGAGGCAAATGAAAAATTACAATGATAAGACCCTTAATCTTATAGTTAAGTACTTAAAAAATAACTTTAAAATATTCAACCTTAATGATAAAAGCACCGATAAAAAGGACAGGGTTCCCCAGAATAGGGGGGGGGGGGGGGAGGTAAAACTTGGAGAAGTTAGACTGCTGACTCAACCAATGCTACATTCATCTCCCATTGCCTGAGTTAAGAAAATTCGAATTCTTCCACTTGAATTCCAATTTTTAATTCTTAACCTTATTTTAAGGAGCAAAATTAAAAAATCAGTAGTTGCACCTCGCAATTTTATGATAAATTGGTTGAATGATTCGACTTGGTAAATGTTTTAGGTACCTAAATTTGCTCAAAGAAGATAAATGTTCTCTGAAGTAAATCTCTAGTAGATATTAAAATATTAAATAAGCTATTAGCTTTCTTATTTTTATAGTTAGGGTTCCCTTTCTTGCATGGGGTGCTCAACAGTATAATACACATTGCATAGTTAGGCGGTCAAATTAGGAGTGATTATAAGCCATTGTGCACAATTTCAGATCTGTTAGATCTCCTATGCGCCTAAGATCAGTTTTTCCTCAAGAGCTGTTTGAAGAATTCGTCAGTTTTTTGGGAGTTTCTTTCATCTTCGAGGATGTGTCAAGAGGTGGTCACCTTCCTGCCAAAGTATCACAAGGGTCAATTTGTGCTGAGGCAGTGTGTGGCGAAACTTCTCAAACTTGTCCATTTTTTTTTTAGGGAAAAACAGAATAATGAACATTATCACTTGAAAATGTACCTAACATTTCTTTGGTCATCAAGATTAATCCTTTAAATTTTCATGAAAGCATATTCCAAAGTTTTAAAACAAATTAAAACAATATTGAATGTTCAAGAACAAATTGTCTAAGTGTAAATGGGGCTTTTAATACTTTGGATAAGAGGTGACCAGGTCATATTTGCCTTTTTTTAAAAACACTTTTGAATAATGAAACGCTCAAATTTTGGTTCCTATAGAAAAATACTTCAAAACGTATTGGTAAACCCACAGTGCCTATTTCCCTAGGAGTTCAAAACAGAAATGATTTCATGTTTGAATAGAGCTCAAGTTGCTTGTTCCCGCCCAATTTTGGATCTTGGAGAAATCTCTTAGGAAACTTGATAAGTGTACATCAATGTATTATTAAGCTTCCTTTCAAATGCAACAAAAATCAGAGTTTAATAAATTAAACGTTATTGTAAAGGTTACTTTTTGAAGCATCTTCAAAGATATATAAAAAAAAAACCTCTTGAAAAACCAGAAAAAAGTTCAAACTGCTCTTCGAAAAAGTTTGCTATGAGCAGACAGTAGATCAGCACTAAAATTGGGTACAATTGCTCCATATTACTCCTGATTGGACCCTTAGACAAAAATTTGGTACAACAAAACAATCGAAAAGGGCAGCATGAATGTTGTTACTTTAGTCCCCGCCCCTCAAACTTCGAAAGAATTAGCGATCTGAATGATTTTCAGACCCTCATCTTAGAGAGTTTTTCATCTCAGGTATAGTGACAATGGATCTATTTGTTTCACGAATTGGTGGTAGCCCGAAAGGAGTATATTTGAGGTTGAACCATATAATACAGAGGAGAAAAAATTAAAGTTGGCACCTGCAGTTTCAAGATAGAGTTATTACGAAACATAAGTGGATTACAAGGAACAACCCCTTCTTACTGCTATCGTATAGAAATGTATTAAAATTCAAGGCACTTTTATGCACTCAAGGCACACGAATAAATCGACAATCCAGACAGCTAAAAGGTTAAGTTATGAGAATTATGGAATAGCTCTTCTAAAGAGGAATACTGCAAAGTTTAAAAAAAGAGCAAGAACTAGGAAAAACAGCAGAAGTTCTTTTCTCTTTTAAAAAATGAGCAAGTACTTAGGTACTAAGGTTAAAAAATAGCTCTTTAAAAAAGCTTTTGGAGTAAAATGTTGTAATTCCATTTCATTTATGGGAACAGCATTCACTTCAGTCAGTCTATTCATTTAGATCATGGGACACCATCTGTGACACATTGATGTCAAGAAAATGGTGAAAAGAGCACCAGTATCACAGTCACTATAAAAATCCTCTTTTCTTACAGAAATCTAAATCCTAAGAGTGATTTAAATATTAAATACCTCTTGGTAACTTTTCATCAAATTGTCCGGTAATGCGTGTTTCTAGTCAAAAATACTGCATAAAATTAGCATTGACACTGATTATGGTAGAGATTTGTACTTTCAGCTGGAGTTTGCAGGCTCCTTGAGTTGTTCATTTGATCTTAGTCTTCGCTGACAGATGACATAAGTCATCAGTAGAATAAGAAAAACAGAGATGAAGTACACTGATAAATGAGGAGATCTAGAGGGCAATGAAGCTCTAGAAGAGGATGTCTCTCCTGAAAACTCTGCATGCAAAATATTGGGCACACTGCTTGAGGGTTCGTTTATGAAACATTCAGATGGCATAATGTCCGTGACACCAGTGATGTACTTAAATTTTTTATCAATATCCTTCAATTTGTCACAAAGAAACATTTTTAAATGCGTTTTCCAGACATTTTTGTCGAGATTATCTTTCGCAAACATCACAAAATCGGTCAAGGATTTAAAAATCTGTTGGACGATCAATCCTCTTGAACTCTGAGGCTCTTGAAGTCCAACAAAATTGTGACCAGGTATTCCTCGTTTTCCAGGCTTACATGCAGAAAGACTTACTGAATTTTCTCTCTTAATTTCCCAAAAATGCCCTTTCTTCGTCGCCAGAAAATCGATCACTTCTCCAGGCTCCCCTTCTGTGCCACCGTTACCACCCAAGCCACTAGTGCCATCCTCTCCTTTTCTAGTACTCCTTGAGACCACACATTTAGTCCCGAGAGCGATCATTTCAATTCTCCCTGACATGCCTCCTTTTCCACCCGCACCTCCGTTGCCACCATTTTCCCCATCGCTGCATCCAGTGCCTATCACTTTGCATCTCTGCTGTTCGCTTGGACTTGCTAAATTACCAGTTCCCGTGGCAGCAATGGCGGCGGCTGCTAAACCAAGTGGCCCACCAAAAAATGTGCTTGCCACAAAGTAAGCTAATGTTCCAAAAGAAGTTGCAACCACTGTTTGTTGAGTACGGTCTGGTGGTATTGGTTGGCAACTATGCTTCTCGGGCCAGAATAAATTCCTCCGAAAACCAGAGGAGGGTGTTGTACCGTCGTTCCCGTTCACACCATCTTTTCCTTTTTGGCCGCGACCACCTCTTCCACCACTGGCAGAAATACTTAATTTGTTGCAATTCACGAACTCATCCCCAATGCCTAAAAAGTTTCCAGCAGGGCCTCCAGGAAGACCAGGGTTTCCAGGCACCTCTTCAGTATCAGACATTGGAGCAATATCTATTTCAACAGCATCACTCCCATCTAATACTATTTTGGGTGAGTTAACAACTATCCAGGTCGGTGATATAATTGAAATTTGAACATCTTCGCCTGTTAAATCTACATTGGAGTCGATGAAAACTTTTTTAAGAGCAAAAATTTCAACCAAGAGGACGTTTTTGCAAGATTTGTCTTCAAGTGGCTTTAAAGCATCACTGATTTTAACAAAGTAGCCTTTTACTCTCAATGTGCTATGAACTTTGTCACAAAACAAATTAATTTTGAATTTTAATGCAAGATCGATGAGCAGCTCAAGCCTTTGAAATTTGACTGGACTTGCAACACCCATTTCATTGATTTTATCATGATTAATTCCAGAGTATAATTTACAAGAATCGTGGAGCTCATTCCTCAGATCATTAATATCCTTTATTGTGAAATTCTTCGGAGATTTCAGAATCCCAGTAAGTTTGTCTGCAACAATCACACAGTTTTTTGGGTCTCGCTGCACATCATACGAAGAAATAGCTGAACTGAATTCTGTTAAAAATGCATACCAACATTTTGATTCTTTCAGACGTTGGTTGAGCCTGATGATATTTTGGTTCCATTCTGATGGTTTAATTTTTATGACTGTGGCACTGAAATTATTCAAAAATTCCAGGTAGCTATCATACCTAGAAAGGTCTACTAAGGTCTCTTTGCTAATTGTCAAATTCAACAAATGCATACTTTCAGTCACTAAATTAGTCAATTCATTTAAATTGTCAACTTTCTGAATGATTTTTGTAAATATGTCATGCGCTTCTTGAAACTGTCTGCGTAAGTCCTCAATATCATTTTCCTTTTCTTCTTTGGCAGAAAGGCCTTTTTCAATTTCCTCAGTCAGACGCCTAACATCAGCAACAATGTTTTCCCTTATAATCTCTACCAAGTTATAGATGCGGTATTTGGAGTGCGCTGAGATTGTGTAATCAAAATCAGCCTCTGTTTGCTCAATGAATTTGATGTTCTTATGTACTATTCTCTCAAGAGATCTCTTGCTTTCTTGCAGCATAGCCATCTTAGTAATGGGGCCATCTCGATCAGGTCTTCGAAAAATACCAATTCTGGGATAGTAATTTCCATCTTTCTGAAGAAGAATCTCTATAAATGTTATGATTTTCAGGTTTTTTTCTCTTTCCTTGTTTTTTTCTTTTAAAGCATGGTTGCCATTAGACTGCAATTTAGAAATTATTTCATTCTTAAGTTTTTGTAAAAAATCAACAATTGTTTCAATTACAGTTTCATCGCCTACCAGGGTCCCATCTCTGTAAAAATTGTCCACCTTTGTGACAACTAAAGCCAAGCTATCCCTGAACTTATCAATGTTTCTAACAGCTTTAGCAACATGCTCAGCAAACATCATGAAGTCTTGTCTATCTACGCCAACTCTGACAGCAGGATACCCTACAATGAAAACTAATTTCACCGCTTGGGTCTTGGTGATGGTTTTTTTTGTGAAGTAAGTGGCAGTAATATCGTGAGCAACCCCACGAGTGTCACTGAAGCCTGGACAATCATAAAAATTGGCTGAAGTATTATTATCAATGTGAAGTTCAGGATAAATAGTCCTTGAAGTCCATGTGTCAGTACTAACCTTACCGAAGATATCTTCTAAAATGTATTCGCCGCTCCTCTTGACTGTTTCCACTGATATTAGACTCTTGTCATTCCCTGTGATGAACTGGGAGAAAGTGCTTTTTCCGGAGCCAGTGTTACCCATCAACATTATTGCATTTTGGGCAGGCTGAAATTTCATAAGTGCCTCACCCTCTTTGAGCAGTTTCAAGACCTTTTGCACCTCATCATCTGTTTCCATGTTGTTGCTAGATTCTGCAAAGGAAAAATATGTATTTGAAAGGACTGGCTTTTAATGATTGGAACTGAAAATATCTGTCCAAATATGAATTTGTTAAATGTACATAAATCAGATTAAAATTTGAATGTGATGTTATGATCAAGTTTCCGTTTAACCTTTCATAAGATTTTTGCTCGAGAGTCTAGTGCCATTTACACCTTCATCCTTGTATGGGAATTTAGTGGTTATTCAGTGAATTAAAACACTATGATCATTTGCGTTGTGGAAATATAAAAGGGACCAACAAACAATGATTGGAGTCAAAACCAGAATGCTTTTGCACCAATGCTCCCTTTTTGGTTTAAGTTGAGGACTTCTTTTTCATTTGAGAAAAACTATGACCGAACGTAAAATGGCCATAGCATTTTTACTGACTTGACAACCAAGTAACTACCCAGGATTAAGAAAGCCAAACAAGTTTGCATCAATTTCATATTGCGAAACCACCTTTCTTCCTTTGCCACATTGCAAACTTCCCGTTGTAATTTATTGTTTTTTTTTTTGTTTTTTTTGAAAAACTAGTCTCAACTTCTCGAAAACTTCCTTGATTTTCCTTCTGTCTTAGCAGAATATTCCGTGGAAATTTGCAGCTATAAAGTCGGCTTGTTTCTCTCCAAAAAAATAAAATAGGAGAGGAAATTTTGAAACATCGCAATGGAGATATGGCAACCACGAATATGGAACCAATGGATACTTGGTTTTGTAATTTGGCCATCGATATTCTTGTGCTGTGTCATATATAAAATCGAGAAAACTTGCATGAAAAGTTATTTTGTGTGTATGGGGCCTAAGGCCTAAGAGATGGGTAACCTGCAACCGACTTAGGCAGGGATACAGAAAGTGCTTTAGAACAAAAATTAGTAAAAATTTCCTCTTTCAAAGGAAAACTCACTCTACAAAAAGACAATAGTGCACATTCAGCCAGAAATTTCAAAAAATAGCTTGCAGTTTTATTTTTTCTGTCATTTATTGCTTAACATAATAAGAAAATAACAGTTGTATCAAACAATTTCCTCCAGCACTGAAGAATTCTTTCAGGCTACAGCTTGCATGCTAGAGCATTTTCTGTGCTCTTGCTTTGGAGGTAAATAATATTTCCCATCTTCATGCTAACTTTATTGCAGTTTGTCACTAGTAATATTACTTAATTATTAAAAAAAACCAGGACAAGTAAAACCAGCCGATTGGTTGCAACAACAAACAACTATTTCATAAAAGTAGGTAAAATAAAACAAAATTAACAATGATATAAAAAATACTGCATAAAGTTTAGCTGCTGCCAATTCTTTTCTGTTCATATTCAAACTTCCTGAGAAAACTTGACAGAATTGGTCTTAGAATTTATTGAAGAATTTATTCAAGATTTGATTGGTCCAGGTTATTCAAAAATCAAGGAAAAATTTCTCTAGATTTTTGTTAACATGAATATTTTATCAGAGAACTGCACAACATTTCGATGGTAAGGAGACATTCTTCCTCATCACAGCAACATTGTCAGCATTTCTTCATCAAAGCAGACTAAAATTTTACTCTGCAAATCTTAATTTTCTAAAACCTTTTTGTATTCGGACAAATGATTAACTGAGCGGCAGTGCCATATATTCAAAAAGTTAATCAAGAACAAGAATAATGACTGATGAGACTGTTTTGGTAAACAAAAGTTTCAGTCGAATTCAAATCGTAAGCGCTCACAGATTTTGAGCCTTCTTGAGCTGTACCCAATGGCAGGACCAAATGTTCTTTTAATATTTTCATACTTTTTGTAAAACATATCTACCTTTTTCTTTCATAAATAAAATAAAACAAGTCTCTTTTATGTCAAAAAGTTACCAGTAAATATTTGCGTGTCCATTGGTTCTTGCAATATTGGCCTGTCTCCATAGTTTGCGCTTGAACTTCCCTGAAAAAACCAAAAAGTATGACACATGAACAAATGGTAGCGCCTGCTAAATTACTGCTTTCAAATAATTCTCAAGTGAAAGGATGTTACTGACAACTAGGTAATATTTTTTTTGGGGGAGTTGTACCTATTGCGTTTAAATACCTTACAATGCTCAAAAATTACACCTGAATAAAGTTATTATACACCTAACTAAAGCGAATGTTACATTTGGAGGCAGAGGATATGATAGCAGATAAAATATGCATGAGGGTAGGGTGCTGAAGTGCTTAGGTGATTCTTCTTTCGTTTTTAGTTTGCAAAGAAATTTTTTTTTCCTCGAGTCAGGTCACATCAAATCATGATGATCAGACTAGGCTAAAAACTGAAAGACTTTACAGCCTAGAAGGGAAGCAAAAATAGACAAAATAAAGTACTTAAAAGTCAAGACACCCATGATAAAATTTTGTAAATATAATAAAAAAATTGGTTTGATGAGATTTTGTTATTCTCCGAAGGTTGGGCCGAAGGATAAAGCCAAAACCACTGAGCCAATACTGAAGTTACATTTAGCCCCTAAGATATGCGCCTCACTTACCTCCATAAAATCCACTTTCTGTGAGTTTTAGAGAAGAAATTGTCAGAAAATGTGTGACATTCCTTAAGGATAGCAATACTACTTAACTCAAACTCACAAATTTTGGAGATCTATATTTTTGTGCGTGTGGGTAGGTAGGAAAGCTCCTTCGGTTTTTATACATTATACCTTGAATTTTTAATCACATAACAATCAAAAACTTTCAGAGCATGATGAAAGTTTCCTTAGCACCTCTGAAACTCTACAAGCCCAGCTCCACAGTCAGGATAAATACATAATAATTTTGATGAGGTAAGGCTTCTTGGACACACCAACAGTGATTGAAACACACGCCAGCCAAACAGCAATTTGCTGATGAGAAATTAAATTAAAAAAATTAAATCTCAACTACTTACTTATGAGTTAAAAAATTAAAAGTCTTCACAAGACCTAATCTATTTAAATGATTACCTTTTGACTTTGTTTTTTTGGCGACCTCTGAGCTATTTAAGGGCTAAGTAACTGTCAAAGTGAAGATGGACTGATGCTGATGGAGAGAGATAAAGAAAATAGTGGTTTTGTGTGTGGCTTCGACATATATAGCATTAGGCTGTTCAATAGGGTAATCGTGACTCCAGGTATTTCGGAAGGGCAACTTTCCATTTTGGCTCCGAAGAAATCTGAGATGGCCCCTGTAGGAAAAAAAGTTACAGGCTACTTGGCTGCTAAGACTTTATGCCGAGTTTTAAATACTGCACACCAACAAAATCAGTACGATGCAGAAACAATATGTTCGGCAACATAGCAGCTAAAGTCTTCATGGACTTTCTTCGGCTTACTAAGCAAGCTAGCTGAACTTCTCGGGAGTGTCGAGTTTAAGATGTCGTACATTTACTTGTTATCAAATGTAGCCTTCAGAACTTACCACACATTTCCTTGAAGAGTAAATCAGGAGTATGAGGATGGTTGCTGTAAGGGAGATCCCTGGCTTGTCATGACGAGACATTGACATTGCACTCGTAAAAACACGGCACAAGCCAAATGCGTTGTGGTAGCAGTATGCAAGTAGATAATAACACTATTTAAAAGAAAAAGTTAAAGAGTAGAGATTCCACTCAACAGCAATTTTATAATTACAAATTTTAAAGCCGGCGAAGTGGAGTTGAGTGTATGTAAACACGCTGTCAGAGCAAGCAACAAAAAAACATAACCTCCTGGACCTCCTCTCCTCTCTTGCTTCTTACGCCCACGCCACTCAAAAAGCACCGGCGCTCCGGCGCATGGCGCTCAGTATGTCTTTGCGCACAGTGGAGCGAGCCAATAGAGTCGATCGGACATGATATTTTTTACTAAATTTGCAAATTTTAATGTTTAAGCCGTTGCATTTTAAATGTAATATGACGATGAAAATTTAACAAGAAAACCAATGGACCCACCTTTCACATTCTGTGACTCGTGATAACGAAGATAAAAGATTTTCAGGTTCTTACATTACGTTCAACCTTTCCCATTGACTCACTCCGCTGTGTGGCGTTATCTGACAGATCGCCTCTGATTGGCTTAGAGCGTGGGCTCTAGAGTGGTTCTTATTTTTCGACTTTTCGAAAATCAAATGTCCGACCTCCCTAAAAGTTGTCATTTGGTGTGAAAAGAACCTACAAAAAATTTCAGCCCTATCATACTGACGAATATCGATACAGAAAACAACCAATGTTCCTTGTAAAATCGGGAAAAATCGATTAAATTTCGCGTGACGTCCTAGAAAGGGCTGAGAAGGGATGGACTCGAGGTGACAGTTTCGTCATTGTACCTAGGTAATTGTTTTCATGTTTACAGGATAAAGATCTACGTTACAAGGGCGTTACAAGGACGGAGAGATGCAGGAGAGATGCAGGAGCAATTTCACTAAATAATAAACGGAACTTAAATCCACAATATAATGCAAAAAAATTTGGAAAATCTCGTCATGAAAATACATAGGTACCTAAGATTCGTAAACGCCTTCAATTGAAGCGTGATACCTCACGCGTTCCGGGAAGTTCAAATAGTTGTATCCCTGCGCCTTAGCAAGGCGATGGAAGTTTAATATTGAAGTAGCGTCCCGGTTTGGTTTTCGGCTTTCCTGTGCCGCCACTGCAGTTTCAACCGTTATGGCCGGAGTTTAAGGGCGCTAAAGCCGGGTTTGTACTTCGAAAAAAGAAAATTTTACCAGGATACTTAAATACTAAGAAGCAGGAATAATTTAACAAAATAATGTAAGAAACTCAAATCTACAATATAATGCAAAAAAAAAATTGGAAAATCTCGTTATGTAAATACATAAGAATCGTGAACGCCTTCAATCGAGGCGTGATACCTCATGCGTTCCGGAGAGTTCAAATAGTTGTACCTATCCCTGCGCCTTAGCAAGGAGATGGAAGTTTAATATTGAAGCAACGTCCACGCTTGGTTTTTCTGCTTTCCTGTGCCGCCAGGGGCGGACTGCCGCTGAACTAGTTGTATCCCTGCGCCTTAGCAAGGCGGTGGAAGTTAAATATTGAAGTAACGTCCCCGTTTGGTTTTTCGGCTTTCCTGTGCCGCTACTGCAGTTTCGACCGGTAAGGCCGTATTTTAAGGGCGCTAAAGCCAGGGTTGTATTTCGCAAATGGATGGTGTTTGCAGAATAATTAAAAATTAGGACGGAGGAATAATTTAACTAATTAATAAAAAGAACTCAAATCGACAGTAATGGAAACAAATTTGGAAAGTCTCGTCATGTAAATACAGAAGATTAGAAAACGCCTTCAATTGAGGCGTGATACCTCACGCGTTCCGGAGAGTTTAAATAGTTGTATCCCTGCGCCTTAGCAAGGCGATGGAAGTTTAATATTGAAGTAGCGTTCTCGTTTGGTTTTTCGGCTTTCCTGTGTCGCGACTGCAGTTTCGACCCTTAAGACCGTAGTTTAAGGGCGCGAAAGCCAGGATTGTATTTCGCAATAAGAGAATCTTACCAGAATATTAAAAATTTTGTATCAGGAATAATTTATTTAAATAATAAAAGGTACTCAAATCGACATTAGAATGCAAACAAATTTGGAAAGTCTCGTCATGTAAATACAGAAGATTCGAAAACGCATTTAATTGAAGCGTGATACCTCACGCGTTCCGGAGAGTTTAAATAGTTGTATCCCTGCGCCTTAGCAAGGCGATGGAAGTTTAATATTGAAGTAGCGTTCTCGTTTGGTTTTTCGGTTTTCCTGTGCCGCTACTGTAGTTTCGACCGTTAAGGCCGTAGTTTAAGGGCGCGATAGCAAGGATTGTATTTTGCCAAAAGAGAATCTTACCAGAATATTTAAAAATTAAGACGGAGGAATAATTTAACTAATTAATAAAAGGAACTCAAATCGACAGTATAATGGAGACAAATTTGGAAAGTCTCGTCATTTAAATACAGAAGATTCGAAAACGCCATCAATTGAAGCGTGATACCTCACGCGTTCCGGAGTGTTCAAATAGTCGTATCCCTGCGCCTTAGCAAGGCGATAGAAGTTTAATATTGAAGCAGCGTCCCCGTTTGGTTTTTCTGCTTTCCTGTGCCGTCAGGGGCGGAGTGGCCATGGGGGCGGGGAGGCGATCGCCCCCTAACAATTTGCCGCGGCGCGGCGGTCCCGAAGGAGCCCACGCGGCAATGTTGTAATTTTCTTGTCCTTTTCAATCACTAAAAGGCCCCGAATTCCTTGAAAATTTGTCTCTAAGAGACATGGAAGGTCGCCAAAAGTATTTGTGATGAAGGGACCCCGGATGAATTCTGAGAATGGGTTATTTTGAAGTCCAAGTACTGTAGAATCCAACACCAATAATGCCTACGTGTTTAAAAAGTGTGAAATTTTCAAAATTTACCGGGGGAGGGCCCCTGAAACTTCTTAGATGAGTTAGAGGGGCCCACGAACGACAGGAGGGGCCCTTAGATTTAGGTCTCCTGCTATTTTTTCGACTACCAGTCCGCCCCTGCACGTATGGAATGTGGCATCATTGATTAAAAGTTGCACTTTTAGTTGAAAATTTCGTGTTCGACCTTTCCGGCGAGATCATTTTACTACACCATTTGTCAGGCGGGCTTTACTGCAAGGATCTAAAATAACAGGGTGCCTTCAATTCCTTATTCATGCCTCAAGGACATTCCCCAGGCATCTTTACAAATCACGCTGAGCACATCGCGATATGGCAACTAAAACACAAAGGATACTCGCACATACCACGCCTGTATGTAACTATTCGTACCTTGGAGACTTTTTTGTAGTATAAACAATCAATTAAAAGCGCTCTGACATTTTTGATCCTCGCAGTAAAGCCCGCCGTCATCGCCAAATCGCGGGTGAAGCGGAGAGAGCTTGGACAGTCAAAACGCCTATCCGTGAGTATGCAACATGGACATCCATGGAGCCCATATAGTTGCATCCAGGAGTTTAATGAAATTTTTATTCTGTTCGTCATATTCGACACTAAGTAAGGGCGCTTTATTTGTTTTGCTGCTACTGTAACTGAATTCCAGCGTTGCATTATAGGCCAATGAAGTAAATTATTGCTGACTTATTGCGATATTGTCAATTTCTAAAATAATGCTTCGATTGTTTCAATACGCAATAGCGTTGCCGTCCTAAAATGTGGGCTGTAGCTCCTACCCTCACGGATCTGAGAACGACGAATGCGGCAAAGTTGTTTCATGGTCACTTCAGGAAGTTTTCAAACGCGCATCTTAGTATATTTGCATTTTTTTCGCTGAAAAGTTAGAAAAAAGTCCAATGGGCCTGTTGCAAACTTTTGCTAGAGCAGAATGAAGAGTTGTTTCCTATAGATAATGCCTTAAAAATCACGATGAGCGCATCGGCAAAGTCTGAAATGCACTCATAAATTCACAATCTGCGTAAGAAATTTGCGTTATTTTGAGCTTCCCGCTTCAAAAACGATACTACTGCACAGGTGAACATTTTGTTAGAGGAGTCGCTCCATCGTCGGCAATATTCATCATGGCCGACGCTTGCGCAGTTCCTCGCGTAATTCGAGGAGAGTTCAAGGTCAATTAAGTCGGGCGAGGAAAATATGAACGTAAACACGCCGATTGTTATCTGGTTTAATCCTGTTCAGGTGTTATCTCGTCCCATCACACGTGTTTTGGCGGACTGGCGTCGGCCATGATGAGTATTGCCACCAATGGAACGACTCCTGCAACAAAATGTTCACCTGTACCGTAGTATCGTTTTCGAAGCGGGAACCTTAAAAAACCGCAAATTTCTCACGCAGATTGTGAAGTTATGAAAGCATTTCAGACTTTGCCGATGCGCTCATCGTGATTTTTGAGGCATTATCTGTAAGAAACAACTCTTAGTTTTGCTCTAGCAAAAGTTTGCAACAGGCCCATTATAATTGGATTACATTTTGCAAAGAGGAACCAAGAGCATTCCAGTGTTGCAGTGATTGTGCAGCTTGCACTCTTCGCAAGTAATTACTGAAATCATATGCAAAAAATTAAATTTACAAAGGTAATTTTTGAATTGACTTTATAGTTTATTGCTGGAGTAAAGGTAAAACCTGTTTGGTCGATCAATTTCTATTTGGAAGGCAAAAAAAAGTTTCACAATCTTAACGACAATGACATGCTCCTGGTTCCTTTTTGCCGAATTCAATCCAATTGTCAACCAACTCACGGTTAATTCGGAGCCCGGTGTGGTAGGTAGGACCCAAAGCTTGTATTAGATATTGATCACTGTTATTGGTTACTGATTGCTTAAGGATCATCGAACCAGAGCATCAGAGGAGAATTTTTCTCAGTATGGGGTACTCTGAGGTGAAGGGGGGAGACGGGTACACTGAAAAAACAAACACATTGGATCTAGAGTCTAGACTCTTAAAAACATCAACAAGAAAAAGTGCTCTTGATTCAATCAGAATCTAGCTTAAATCAAGAACCAAGCATCTTAATTTAAGCGGAGTTCGTTTTGATTTAAGCAAAAATCCGATTTGAATCAAGAGTATTTTTTCTTTTCAATTTTTTCAAGAGTCTGGACTCTAGAACCAATGTCTTTTTTTCCAGTGTAGAGGAGGAGCACATCGTCACCTTCCCGGCAAAGTATCACAAGCGCCATTTTTACCGAAATTGAGTTATGAATAGTTCCGAAATAACGAGATGCATTTACATACGAAAATAATCATTTTTTTTACAACAAATATGTAGAAATATGAA